CTTCCTTCTTTCTTTCTATATACCGGTCCATGCCTGATTAATATTTTCGCTTGTTTTGCAGAGATGAACTTCAGAGCATTCAACATCCCCATGAAGAAGACCGGCGGCTCCTCCTCTGCTGCCCCCAGAACCGTACCGGTGCAACAGGAGCCGGTGGAGATCAACTCTGAGGAGGAAACTCCTCCGACCGGGAGGACCGGTCAGGCCGGGAGGACCACGGTAAACCCTCCCCTAGACAAGGGGAAGGGGAAGGTCCGAACCAAGCATGCCGCCACCACCCATCCCTCGGCAAAGAGGAGGAGGGGAGAAAGCGTCCCGGCCACATGGTCGCTAGAGGAGCTCTGGGTCAAGATGGGGCGAAAGCTGAAAGAGGTAACATTCGCCCGGTACACTTTCCTCAGCTTTATTACTTGTTTGCCGTACTGACCGGTATGTTTGGTTTTGCAGATGGGTGAGGTCGGGCCTGAAACCTTGGAGAAGCTCGCCGAGGACTCCCCTTCCCGGTCACTTCAGCTGGAGGAAAAGCTGAAGAGGCTTGAAGCCCACAACCGGGAGCTTCAAGACCTGACCGCCCGGCAACTTGACGAGATGGCCAACCTCTCGGCGGTTGCCGGTAGGGCGAACGCGGAGGTCCTCCAGCTGAAGGAGGAGAACTCGCTGCAGATGGGGGAGGTCTCCCACCTGAAGGAGGAGGCATGGGTGAAGGAGCAAGAGCTGCCCGGTCGGGCCAGACAGTGGATAGAGGAGAACCTGGTGGAGGCCGCCCGGGTGCTTACCTCCTCAGAGGAAAGGACAATGGAGGGCTTCAAGTTGCTGTACCGGGAGGAGCAAGGGAAAGAGATGATTACCCAGATCGGCTCCTACGGTTTCATGTCCGGCCAAAAACGAGACCGGGAGGCCACCCATGCGATCTTTGCCGACCGGGATCCGGACTTCAATGCCGAATCATACGGTCTGGCCCCCATCCCGGACGAAGAGCCTGCGCCTCCCTTTCCTCTTGAGTAATCTTCCCGGCTGCGACCGGTTAAATTATTTTGGAAAACTTCAAACTCATTTCCCCGGGAATGCCCGGTGAATCTGTAAACCCTTGACTTTTTATTTCGTCTGAATGCAATGTTTAATTTCCATGCCGGTTTAGCTTCCATATTTGCATGCTTTTTGATTGATACTTTGATCTTCGCTTCTTAGAACGCCATCATAGGATATCCGACCGGTATAGTAATCAATCACCATACTTCCTTTGACCGGTATTACTTCAAAGTTCTCTCTGGTCACTTTATTTCAAGGATCAGCCCGAGAGACTTTGACCGGTTAAACTTCAATTTTTGCTTTTCGAACGTCTTCACCGTTTCGGCCAACTTAAAAAGTCTGACCGGCCGAACTTTACTCTTGTCTTTTGGATGGCTTCACAAATTCTTTTGGTAGAGTTTAGTTTGACCGGTGAAATCCCACTCCATGGTTTGACCGGGCAACTGCCTTGCCTTCCGACGGACGTAGAACTTTCGAAGTTCTGTTGTGCTCATACCCGACCGGGGTACGAATTCCCACTCCATGGTTTGACCGGGCAACTGCCTTGCCTCCCGACGGACGTAGAACTCTCGAAGTTCTGTTGTGCCCATACCCGACCGGGGTATCCCTTTTTTTATATTTTATCGGTAGGTTGTAGATGGAAACACCTGTAACCTAGTGATTCTCGAAGTATCCTTAACCGGTAAGAATACTGGAGATTTAACCATGTCGAATGGTTTCGAACCCTCTCCAAGGTTCAAATGCACCCTTCTTCGAGGGCCCCCTCTTCCGGGTGATTAAATCTTTTAATGGCCCTTTGATTTCTACCATCCCGGGAAGGCCTTAGCTCACCCCCCCCGTTCAAGTCTTCCCTGAGAAGGGGGAAACAGGATGCGCCACGGTGGACGATCCCCTTCTATTTCTTTTAATGGGCATCTTTTAATCCCCAATCAGTTTGACGGCGTCGGCTGATTCCCCGACACCAATCAAACCTCATGGGCCCGTGTAAGTACGGTTCGAACCCTCTTCCAGGTCCAGCCCTTCTTGCAGGCATACCCTCTTCCGGGCCCCTCTTCCGGGTTCTAATATTTTTTTTCTATTATACTGAGCAAGACCGGTGTAGTAACCAGCGTGCCAGGTCCGGGCCTGTGTCTCAGTCGGCTTATCTAAGTGGATTCGATCCACCCAGGAAGCCCTCCTAGGATAGGTTCGACCTATCAATTCTGCCGCTACCAAGTAGAGTATTGAACATCACTTTGATTGATAATGATGTAGGCCTTGCCTAGTATTACAATCATCTGTAGAACTTGCGAAGATGATGGGAATTCCAGGTTCTTTCTACCGGTACCCCTTCAAGGGTTTCTAACCGGTATGTCCCCGGGCGAATGATGGCTCTAACCCTATATGGGCCTTCCTAGTTTTTTGCTAGCTTTCCTCCGTCGCCGGGTCTACTTGCTTCTCTTTTCCGTAGGACCTCATCCCCAACTTGGAAGTATCGCGGCCCGACCTTGTTATCATGGTACTT